GTTCTCACACTTTTCTCTAAACACTGCATCTCTGTGGTTTTTAAACCCCAAAACACATTGCACCAAAAACTGGTCCACCCCAAGGACCAGGTCCCCCGACACAAACAGAGTAACATAGTGTACACTGTTAAGTGCCAGGAGGATTGCCAGGACTTATACATCAGGGAAACCAAACAACCTCTGGTGAAGCTCTCGTCAGGCCAGGACTCTGCAGTCTATTTACAGCTATAAGCTATTAGACACTCTTTCAATGATGAGGATGTTGTTTTGTTGTTTGATTATCCGAATCAGAATGTTTTTATTTTCATTGTCACAGTTACAACGAAATTAAAAGTGATCCCCGATCAGTGCATCATCCCTAACAATATGAAAATATAAATAAAACAATAATATTTTAAATCAACAAAATCACTAAATAAAATAATTAAAGTGCTAATAAGAATAGTATTAGCAAACATTCACATACATTCCCACACACATGCTTAAGTCAGTGCATAGATCAATTCAGGAGTGGCGTGAGTGACACTTTTTTAGTAGCAGCAATCAGATGTGTTATTGCAGTTGGATAAAGGCTGTGTTTGAGTCTGTTTGTCCTTACACTGATTGCTCTGTACTGGCTGCCCGAGGGCAACAGTTCAAACAGGGAGTGGCAAGGGTGTGAGGTATCTGTTATGATTTTCTGAGCTTTTTTAAGACAGCTGGCAGCCAGTGACCCTTTGGGTCATGTTAATGACCCCTTGGAGCACTTTCTTCTGAGCCACTGTGCAGCTAGTGTACCAGATGCATAAGCAATAGGTTAGTACACTCTCAATGTTGGCTCTGTAGAAGGACACCAGCAGTCTCTGTCTGATGTTATTCCCCCTGGGAAATTCTCAGGAAGTCTCTGTTTGGCCTTTTTCAGCAGCTCGGAGGTGTTCACACTCCAGGAAAGGTTCTCCTCTATGCTGATTCCCAGGAAGCGAAAGTTTCCCACCCTTTCTACACAGTCCCCATAATAATTAGTGATGGGATCTCTGCCCTTTTACTTCTGAAGTCTATTATGAGTTCTTTGGTCTTTGAAGTATTAAGGAGGAAGTTGTTGGCCTTACACCAGCTGCTCCACCTTGTCTCTGTAAGCAGACTCGTCACCCCTGGAGATGAGCCCCACCACAGTGGTGTCATCTGCAAACTTCACAAAGATGTTGTTCTGGTGGACAGAAGTTCAATCGTGTCTGTGGAGAATAGAGCAGCGGACTGAGCACACAGGCCTCGGGTGAACCAGTGCTCATCCTCAGGGCTGAGGATGTGCGATGGCCAACTCTCACTCTCTGTCTACAGCCTCAGAGAAAGCTGTTGATCCACAAGCAGG